GCCCCCCCCCCCCCGGTCTCTCATAGTCCCCCCATGGGGCCAATTCTGGCTAGACTGGGGAAGGCTGGGGCTGATTCCCCCTCTCTCAGGAGCCCTGTGCACCCCTCGTCTTCTTCCACAGTTTCCATCCTTAGCCCCCGGCATGCTCCCCAACACTGATGCCTGGAAGCCCGCAGCAAATCCAACCAGACCCAAGCAGCAGCCACCCACTCTGCTGGCTGCCAGCCACAGGGGCCAATAAGAGCCAACAGAGAAAGGAACCCCCCTGCATCTGTGCATCTGTGGTTTGTATATACAGGATTTTCCTAGGGAGGCAGAAAGTGGGGAGGGGAGAGTGGGATTCTGCAGGGATGAGGTAAAAGAGAGGGTGAAGGTGGGGAGAGCCCAGTGTGATTGGAACATGGAACTCGAGACCTAAAGAGGAAGCAAGAGGGAAAATAGCCCATCTCTCTCGCAGAGTGGAATAGAGCAAAAAATAGTCTGACAAAGTCAGAGGAAAAGATCATACGGGCACTGACCGAGGAAAGGAAACGAGACTGAAATGCAAGAGGCAAAGAAATACTGGGAAACACAGGAAATGCAAAACTGGTGACTGGAAAGCAAGGCCGACTCTCCTAGCTCAGGAGAAGTGTCGACACAGCCCGAATCACTCCTCTAAGCTTCCACCCACCCCCTCACAGAGCTGGTCCAAGCTCTTCCAACCTCCCCTCCATGGAGCTGGCTTTAGGGCCCTGCCAACCCTGCTACCTGGTGTCACTGCTTGTCAGAGCCCCCCTGGGTGAGGCTGGCATTGCTACTTACCCCCCCGCAGAACATTCCTCCATGCTCCACTATGGGGCACACCCTACCTACTTCTTTTTTTTTTCAGCGCAACAGTGGATACACTTTTGTGGACTGATGATCAGTTGGAATGAGCAAATTGCCAGTTCTGCAAGAAACTTTGGGACACCCAAGACAGGGCTTAAAACAGGGAATTTCCTGGCCAAAATGGGACACATGGTCTTCCTGCCTTTCATGCATGTACCTTTGAGAGCATCCTATACACAACACATGGGTGCTGGGGCTATGATCTGAAGGGAACAAAAATGCTTCCTCCATTTGGTTTTTTGCTTAGGTCACAGCTAATCTCTTTTATTTTCTGTGGTAGTTCAACTAATCTGTATCATCCTCCTTCATGCAAAACAGAACTTCTCAAGCTTCCCCCTTGCAGGCTCTGGGCTTGAACTGGCACCATTCAATCAATGGTAGTGGAGCGTTGTGACGGGGTGGAGTCGCACTGCGGTGGCGGTGCCGACATGCCCCGCACTAGAACTGCACCAGTCCCCGTGCTGCTCGGGGAGCGCGGAAGTGAAATGGCCATTTGAGCCACCTGCTCAGCTGAACGGCAACGAGCACCGCGGCAGGGAAGACGTTTGGGGCATGATGCACGGGGCAGGGGGATGGATCCCCAGGGAGCATGCGTCACGGATGTCGAGCAGTGGGGCGTCAGTGTGGGCGGGCGCCATATTCAAAGGGACCACGGAGGGGAGAGAAGGAGACTCCTGTCCCGAACTAAAGGCAGCGGGGGTAGGAAGTAGCCCAGGATGGGGCTTCCCTGAAGGTGGCCTGCGGGCTGGCGAGGT